TATGGATGATGTACTTTGAATTTATATTAGTTCACACAAACACTCCATCCATGCTTTTGTTCCGGCCCTCCAGTCCAGTTTAAGAACCCATTGTGGCCCTCGAGTCAAAAAGTTTGCCCACCCCTGGTATAGAGGCTGTCATTTAGGGTGGATTAAAGCCCTGAAACATTAAAAACAGATGTTGAGATAAGCATTTCTGCACCCCTTGCCCTTGTTTTCACCTACCATCTAGTTTACAGTAAGAGCCTCTCTTCCAGCTTCTTCCTCCTTTCACCAAAATATGCAGTGTTAACTAACCCTTTGCATTTCTCTATAGCTCTGTGTGGTTTTGAGCATGTTAATGGGCTCTCATTAGATCATCAGGAATATAGAAGGTAAGCAGGGAAGTTGTCATTTTTTTTCTTACAGATGAGGAAAATTAAACTGAAAGGGGCTAAAGTTATTTGTCCAAGGTGAATAAGGCTGATTATTATTAGTGTCAGAATTAGAATCCAGGTCTTTACATTCTTTCCCCTAAATCTTTACTTTCAAGAATGCTACTGTAAACATTGCTGAGATTTTGATAGAATTCTAGGTTTAAGTGTATATTTGTTAATTATACATGTCAATCTGTATTAGTACTAACATTTTTTTTCTTCCTATGCATATGTAGTTTTGTGCCTCCCTGGAGTTTGTGTGCCCAAATTTAGACTACACTCTCTAGAAGTTTTCTTTAAAAAACTGTCTTTACAGTATTGCAAAGAATCCTGTGGTTATTAAAGTATTCTTCTGTAATGAATACACCTTTGTCAGTCAAATAACTTAACGGAAAACAAGGTTTTTATGACCATGATTCGTTGGATACTTGATGTACTTATCTACCACAATTAATAATTGTATTTTCATGGCCTGCCTTAGAGTTTCTCAAAGAAGTGTACATCAGATTTTTTTGTTTTGTAAACACAAATAATAAAAATTTGAAGACTAGAGTCCTTGGAGGAAGGGAAAACATTACTGCTTTATCTGAGCTTTGCCAACTTGAAAAATAAAAGAATTTGAGGTCCATGCTGACACACCAGTCTAATAGTAACCAATGTAAATATTATCAAAAATCAGAATTTCTGATATGAATGAAAATGTTGTTTTGGATCTCTCATTTGTCACATATCAGGCCATGATTGACTTTAAATAGAATCCTATTACTCACATCTCTATGTTTTGGCTTAAGTGATTTACTATTTGTTTTTCTTGTTATTGTTGAGATTACAGATGTCCCCCATTTTCTCCCCTTTCCTCCCCCTCCACCAGGCTCTCACCCCACCTCTGACTTTCACCAACACTGATTTACTATTTTTAAATGACATCAGGAAATGCTACTGAAGTCTGGATGCTGCTGCCATTTACCAACTCCAAGTCACTTAATACTACACAGTTCATTTTCATCTTTACTAATAGGATCATAGACCTGTGTGGTTACATAAAGCTTAGGAAAGATCAACTAATGTATAGCGAGCTGTTAGTTTATAAACAATGTTCACATCTGAAGATGTGAACTGACTCTCATTAAGGCTCAGGATTACATGTGTATTGCATGTCGAGTGGACACTCAAGTTTCTGTGAGTCTAAAGATTTTCATCAGAGAGCTAGTAGGCAGGCATAATGGCAAGAGCAGGGACTGTAGTCCAGTTCCAGCCCAGTGACTATAACCTCAGGCATATTTGTACATAAGTCTCCAAGACTGACTTTTATCATTTATTATGAGGATAAATATACTAACCTTGCTTGTTATGAAATTTAATGATAATACATGTGAATGTGCCTAGTAGGCATTCAACAAAGGTTAATTCCTTCTTGTCTCAAAGTGGCTCTGATTCATGGTAGGCTGAAGGACAAGTTAAAAGGGACAAATCCTGCCAAGTTCAGTTCTGAAATATACTGATGAAATCTGTAAATGCAGTGATCTTTATCCAGTGGTATCTGAGTGACTGACTTCTCAAGTACCTGGCTTATTGTGTATTCAGTTCAGTAAGGAGGCAGGATTTATTTATAAACAAAAAAAATACTTTCAGGATAATACATGCTCTGTCCACTCTAATGTTTAGAGGTCCCAATAATAAAACTAAATTTTCTTTTACAAGGTTGATAATTTCTTTGAAACCGAAGTAAAATGAAATGCTTTACACTTCTTTTTTTTTTTTTCAGCATGCTACAAATGAAAAATGATGAGAAACTGAATTTGTCTGATGGGAATACAGCAAGTAGCCCTTTGAGCCCCATTAAGATGTGCCTTAATCATCCCACTGAATGGAATCTGAATTTGACAGCATCTCTAGCAAGCTGTACAGTTCAAAACCAAAATCTCACAAGTGAAGAGAAATAGATTGCAGTTCTTCTTGCACTATCCTTATTTTGTACGTCAATATTCTTTTTGCTGAACAATAAGCATTTACCAGTTGATCTTGAAATATTTCTAGTCCTGTGATTTGTCTTTATATCATTAGCATTAATCACTTTGATTATATTCTTTGTATGTTTTTTACATGTTTTACATCAGACCATTGTGGAACTTTGCAGTACAGATGGATTTTGATGTTTCTCTTTAATGGTATTTTGTGAAATTTGTATGCCCTAAGTTTAAATACATAGTTGTCCCCAATTTTATTTCTGTGCACAAAGTTTTAATATATGACGTACTGCGTGATTTGGAAGTGTAAAGATTCGTGATGATGACCTGACCCATGAACAGTTATAAAGCTGGTGGATACCAACTACCTCGAATTGGTGAAAGGCAAAGGTATCTCTTAGAAGTATATCATTTTCAAAGTTATATATATAGAGAAAAATTGGTCAGTTTATCAAGTAGCATGTTTCCATTCATAGGAGAATTTGAGCTGATCAGTTTTCTTTCTCTGTATTTTTAAACCTTTCAAGTCTGTGAGAACAATAGCACAATTACACATTTACTCTTCAGCAAATGTGTGCCTCTTACAGACAAGAATACTATTTGGTTTCTGTAAGTTACCAGTTTTGAAAGAAAAATGGTAAATGGACTTACATCTACTGATTTTATGGTATTTTAGCCATTTATTTTAAAGTGGAAAGGGATTTTTTTTTTAAATCAGGATATTCCTTACGTTTAAAAGTGCAAAAGCATAGCTTCAGCAATGGCTTATGTGATTGTGTCTAAAACTTGAACAGTAAGAATACTAAAGGTTTGGTGCTTAATTTGTTTTTTTCCCAGCCAGATAAAGAAAGCTTTGATTTGGTGGTCCATGTAAGTATGGTAGTCTCTTTAGATAGCCTGGCTATGAGGTAAATGGAATTTAATTTTTGGACATTTTAAGTCCTTATTTCTCCCTACTCCACATGCCCCCAAGCAAAAATTTTTTAAATGGGGATTTAACAAAAGAAGACTTACATAAAGAATTTGAAGCACAGAAAAAGAGCCAACAGAATGGAACTCACCTATTTTTCATTGTTTATATCACTACCATATCTGCCTTTTCTTTTCCTTAATAAGCATTCTTTGTAACTTTTAGGCTCCTTTTATATTTTTGAGTTTTATAAAGCGCATATATATGTATGTAATATAGCAATTTGGTTCTAAAAAGCACAACAACCTTTAGCTCCATCTTAGAACATCACTTTAAATAAATGGCCTCTGATTAAATAAAGCACAATTATTAAAACAGATCCAAAGTTAGGGCATTTCTATTCTGAATAATAAAGAGAAAAGGCAATTAACAGATGGATAAGAAAAGGTGTTTTGTTGGGTGTTGCCTGAGGAAAGGGGACTGATTTCATACAGTACATTTCATAAGTTAGGTAAGTGCCAATTTCAGAAAATAAGTTGATAATGAAAAAATAGCGCCCATAAATTAGTATGTAGAGGACTTCCTGTCACATTATTTTCCCACTAGTATTTTTTATCCACAATAGTATTATGCCAAAAAAAAACAGAAAGCAAGTATATGATTAATATGTACATGTGAACATCTCCCCAGCCCAGGGAACAGCATCATTTTAGGAAAAGAAATTACCCATTCAGACAGCATATCAAAAATGTTTTTAGTATAAGAAATGCAAAACAAAATCAAAATGAGAACTGTTGAACTTGGACGATGAGGACTCTGGTTCATTATACTAGTCCTCCTCCCTGAAAGTGAGCTCATTTCTAGCTCACTTGCCCTTGGGGTGTTGTTTTTTAAAATGTGTTCTGAGATTGGAAATGTGTTCATCTGTGTTTGATCTGCCATAAGTTTCTCAAATGCAAACTATTAGCTAGTTACACTTAAAAGTTGCCCACAATGCTATGATTTTAAATGTGAGAGTTCATAGGCATCATCTGGAAAGCCAGTTTAAAAACCAGGTTCCTGGGCCCACTTTAGATTCTGATGGAATCCCTGTGACTGACGCAGATGGCTTGCGGAGCGCATTGACAGATGTGTCCTGATGCTTTCATACAGGCCAAAGTCACATGGAATCACATGGCAGAAAGTCCTATAAGACATCAGGCAAAATTTTTCTAATGTTGACACAAGGGTTAAGTTTATTAAACAAAGAACTAAAATAATTGTAAAAGACATTTGTAAAAGGACTCCACTTCCATCATCTCTTCGCCTAATTTATATCTTCATTGAGAAGTTGCTCCAAGTTCAGTTTACTTTTTGCTAGTGCTGCTGTTTTGGCTCGTCTTGGTAATCTCATCTTCATTTCTGATTCTGGCGCTGGAACTTCATGATCACTAAACAGATTTTGAAAATACACCAATTTAAATACAAGCTTTAAAACCACAGTTTATTTGTAAATAAAACGTTTTTTGTTTCTGACAGTGTGTAATTGATATCCTGATTCCAGTAAGCTTAAAACTAAAATCTCAACCAAAACCAAAACACTTTGGCTATCCAGCAAATTGAAAGTATGGGAAACGTAGCTAATTTCTTTTTATATCTATGTGGAACCTGGTGTTATACATAAGGAAAAGAAAAAAAACTTTTGTAGTGAAGGTTGTTGTTAAACAGGGACCATAACAACTGCCCAAAAGAGGTGTGTTTTTTTTGAGAATTTAAGAAATGGAAGAAAAAAATTAAGTTCTTTTGATTTAGGCAATAAAATCCTAAAACACTGTAAACAGCATGTTTCCCCAAAAGATTTTTAAATTTAGTCAAAACTTAATCTAAAAGTATATACTGAAAGTATACAGTTTTACCAATGAATAAATGAATGCAAGAGAGCTACAACTGTTGGCTTCCAACAGTGGCTAATTGGCAGAAACCAAATATAAGCCCTATACTAATATACCCAAATTATAGGCAGAATTATTCTGTAACTATAAATGTAGAGAACCCAAACCTAAATCTCAAGAGTTGCTAATTCAAGATTAGAGGAGTCATATACACATGACCATGTAATTAGAAGAATACATGGAAATATAAATTGAACGAACATATTAAAGATGACTACCTAGTAGTAAAGGCCATGCCAACTAATAGAAAAAGTAAATAAGCCATAGGAAGTCAAATGCTCTTGATAGTGGAATCCAAGACATAGCCATGTATGGTTTTCACTGATTATCTTGTTATCTGTTGAGTTTTCCTGTCCCAGTAGAAGCACCGTACAATTTTTTTCTACTTCTAGACCAAAAAAAAAAGTAGACCTCTAGGTACTCTACACATGCATAACATACCTTGCCGAGTCAGCCTCAGAAGTCTGTCGTCTCCTGCTAATCCTGGCTGCAGCTGTCACTTTTCTCCGTCCTTAAAGACAGTTTGTTATCAAAATGATCAATTGCTTAATTGTTTTTAATCTATTTCTGGGCTACCTAAGTCCTTTATTTTCCCTCTTTAACACATTTCCTCCTTGATACCAATTATCAACAGAGAAAAGGAACTTAAGATTAAAAATGTATTAATTTATTTCGTAAGCTCTGATAATAGGCAAGGGGAAATTAAGTTATAAATAGGCAAGTTTCAGTTAATAATGAGGAAAGACGCATGTGAAAAACATGCTATGTAAAGAAAGAACCTCTATTATGCTTTTAGTACAGTGTATGGAGAAGCTAATGAAAATTAAAGCAGAAAGGTAGGAAGGTTAAGCCCATAACAGGTCCTAAAGAAAGAGAACTTGAATCAATAAAGTAATGGCTTCTTGGAAAATATTCAAACATATACATGGCCAATCCAAATATGTTCTAAAACATATTTCAGTATAAAAATTAATCTTTGTTATTTTTGGAAGTTGCAAAAATTCTACTTGCTAGAAATTTACAAGGTTAAGAAGACAAAAGTTAGCCTGGGATGCTCCCCATTTATAACAATACATTTTTAAAAGTTTGAGCTGTCAAAAAAAAAGGTGGTAGTCTAATGGATAGTATCTAACTAAAAGCAATCTTATTAAAACTATATTTTTCATATGATTATTTGGTTGAAATTTGTAAACCCTACTTTTTCATGTGAGACTTGTTGGTTTTTCACCAATAAACCTTACATATTTGCTTTTAAACTTCTAATGTAACTATCCCCAAGAAAATATCCAACAATATGGGACTAATTTGGGACACCCAGCAATTAGCACTTAATTAACTGACTAGCTACAAAATATTATGGACAGATTTTATTTACAAAAATATAAAATGCATAAGAAAAAGACCTCAAAAACATTTTCAAGGATTAAAATAATTGTTGGCTCATGGGTGGTATTATTAGTGTTCTTTATATTGGTATGCTTGGATGTATTTCCTGATTTTCTGTAATAAGCATGCATTGCTTTTGTAATAAGAACATAATAAAACAATAAAAAAGTCTTGAATTACAGATTTTTCCAAAGTGATCCCCTAATAGTCAACATTTACATTATTCCAACAAGTCCCCTATTGGATATCCCTTGGGAAATAAATTATGTTGGGGAAAAATAAAATGGGGAAAAAAGGAAAACAGAAACCCAGAAAAATACTAGGCAAATAAAAGGGACAAAATTGCTTAACCATATAAAGACTAGAACATAACTAATAATATAAAATCATCACTGATCATTTACTGATAAAAATCAATTTAATCCAAATAATCCTTTACAATATGATCTTTTGCATCATATTTCATACCAAAGCACTTGGAGCAACACTGACCATCTTTTAGATGACACAGCAAAACCTAATTATCAGCTGAAAGAATTAAAAAGCAAAGAATACCTAAGACATTTTTCCCTATGGAAACAAAGATAAGGAAACTTGCAAAGTAAGTAGTTCATTGGAAAACAAACTTGGAAAGTTGTATTATAAAATTAGTCAATCCGTGCACTACCTCTGACAGTCTTTCGCTGAGTGGATTTTGATGCTCGGGTTGCTTTTACATCCTTGAGAGGAGTTACACATACTTCTTTATTCTTTTCTATTACAGGAAATATGCAACAATGTAAATAAAAAATAGCCTCATGAAATAGTTTAAATGGTCTAAGTCAAATTTTCATAAAACAGAAGTCACAACCAGTCCCATTAGCAGCTATTGAAAATTTATCATAAATCAGTGTTCCAAAAAATGTGAATAGTGGCAAGTAAGTAAGCAAAACTCCCAGTCATATGGTGAGAAATGTACACCAAAAAATTGTAAAAGTAGAATAAACACTTAGCAGTTATATGCTTTCCCAAGGGGATTAATTAGAAAAATTTCCTTTTCATTTCTGAAACCCAACCACATGTTATAAAAAAATGTGTCTCAGTAAAGATGAGAGGACAGAATCTTATTCAGGTTAGTTTGCTGTTACCCTCTTCGTTTTCACACACAGTCGTGGTTGTGCTGGCATCTTGTGCTGCCACAGCTTGCTCACCACAGTCTTTATTTCCTTTTTCTAACTGCATCTTGATTTTCTCCAAAGCTCTCAGACATATCCTGTCTTTTACTTGCTATAATAGAAAACATTAACATTTTTTAAATACAGCATTTTCTAATCTTGCGAAAAAGCTGTATGCTGATATCAAGTTGTTTTAAGACATTCTAAAATTCTATTAAACTATGAAGGAAATATTTACTTCAAATGAGCAAAGTCACAGTATGCTAACATGTATAATTTTACTTTGATAAGAATATGTACATAAGAGTACTCAGAAACTACTTTACCTCCAGAATCTCATTCAACAGAACCAAAAGATCTTTAGCAAGATTGGTACTGAGTTCTAAAGAACTCAAGGCTTTTGTATAGACCCGAATTTCTGGTGAACATGGACATGTTAAGATCTCATTGCAAATTTTTATAGCCAAATTGTCATGAACTGTTAAGGCCTGGAAAAGCAAGAGAAAAATCTTTGTAAATTGAAAATGGCATGATTATACTACAGTCCTACACATCTAACAAACATTTCCAACTAATTATCTGCCATCATCCCAAATGCAAAATGTCTAAAACCAAATTTAACGTATTTCTTCCCAGAAATCTCAAGATCAAAATGTATCTTCAAGGAATCGGAGGGATTATTTTACAAAAACAAAAAACAGTGACCTGCATCCTAATCAGCCCTACCATCCATAGGCTGACATATTCACACCCACCTGATAATCTGGGGAATTCTTGGCCTTAGGATGCAATCCACTTGGTCTTGTCAAATCTACCAGTAACTCAGTAACATTAGTGATATCTATTTCAGCTAAAGGAGAAGACGCAGGGGCATTGGCCAGTGTTTGCAGAGTTGGGAAAAAGGCTTCTTCAAAACATTCCTGATTAGTCCTATTGAAAAACAATTTGAAAGTATACTCTCAA